GCCTAAGAAAAACATAAGTATTATCTCTGTGAAACAACTTACAAAAAAAAAAAAAAAAAGAAATAAACCACCAAAGGCGACATAATTGAACATATGGTGTGAATCAATTACATGATCCACACATGATTAAGAACAAGCAGGGATGCTGAGGAGCATCTGAGGGCAATGGTGGGAAGATACACACTTTCCTAGAGATATTTACATTGCATCTGAGTAAGATTTGTCAGTGAAAAAATGTCACATGGAAATTATACTATTTTAGGGAGCAAACAAAAAAAATTATGAAGAACTGCATATAACCTAATGCTTAAAGGTCTGGATCTTTGAAAGACACTTCTGGCACTATAAACTAAGCCAAAGCTGAAGGTCAGAGAACAGAAGTGCTCAGTTTCAGGGATAAGGAAAAAGCAAAGAGAAGCCCTAACACACAGCTGGTAAAAACACACTTGCACACACTCAGAGTAAAATATTGTGAAATATTCTGTATGTAACTCAACCAAATTTTAAACTGTGAATTTTATTTTAAGATATTCATGCTTTCCAGAATGACATCTTTATTGCACATGTCACTGAAGCACGAGGTCTGGTCTTAAAGGTAACAGTTGATGTCAGATCAAAGTACCTGCCTTTCAGCAGAGCATGAATGTTCCCTTCCTTCTGTAATTTCTCCACAGCCTGTCTTCAAAGCAGAAATCACACATTTTCCAACACTCCCAAGAAAATGCAAAAAACTGATTACCCAAACCAAATTATATTTCCCCCCTTCTGCAGGCTGGAGAATAGCTCTCAAGATAAGCTATTTTACTCCAGGATTGTTTCATTTCCTTGTCATCATTCCCTAGTGGGACTTTGATCCCTGAACCTTTGGCTGCATTTAATATCAATATAACCATCTACATCATATCACTGCAATTTCCAGGATGCTGATTGGTACCATGAGTCCACACCAAGGGTTGGATTTGCCATTTAGTCCAGCAAAATGCATCTCAGATTTATTTTTTCCCAATGCTATGCAAAGGTGCCTAATTAGTTTTCAATACCATGAAATTAAAAGCAGAGCAAGATATTTTGTTCTGCATTTTGTCTCAATGGTTTAACCTCAGCAGCATATCTGTCCCACAAAAGCTTTGAAAAGCATACAAATTAATGAGAGGATATGTACCACAGAAACCATTGCAACTTCACCATCTAATTAGCACAACGTGGCAACATCCACACTTATATCCTGTTCACCACAATCATCTTTGCAAGACTTTATTTTCTGCTTCTAAAGTAACATTAAGGAAGACAGCTGCTCTCACATTCCACACATCAAGCCATAATCATTTATGAAGGTGTCAACAGAGAGCAACACTTCTGGGATGTCAATATTTAATCTGCAGTAAAATTAAATGACAGGTCATTAGACCCAGTTCATCAAGTCAGGAGTTCAGTGCAGATGCTGAGCTGGATGTCAGGAAGCTTCTGAGCAAAGCATATGGAATCTTCTGCAACATTTGACCATGGAAACCTCACGCAGTATCTGTACATGCACCCCACAGACAGCCCACAGCACCCCTCTGTGTTTTTGGGAACAGGCTGCCTCAGCACCATCACCCCGGAGAAATCACCACACTGCAGCTGTGGACAGGCAGCCTTGACCCCTTCATTGATGTGGCAGAGTCCAGCACAAGATGAAGGGCTGTCATTAGCTTTCAGTAATGGAATAATTTCCACAAGCTTTGCCCCAGGGAACTTCAGGTAATGTGCAAGTAAAAACCACACCTGCTAACCAAGAAGCTCTGCCCCTTGCTCCCCTTTCTCATTTGAAGACCACAGGAAGGCAAAAATTAAAGGTTTTATGATCCTCTCTTAGAAATTTGATGTGGTAGTCCTCCTCTTCATTAAATGACTGACAATGGCACATAACTGCAACCCTGTTTTTCCTTGCTTTTCCTTCCCAAAGGAGGACCACAACCACTTCTGGCTTATTATAAAGCCTCAGCCATCAGCAGTGCAGCATAACAACACTCATTTGTCTGACTATTACAACTTCTTCCATTTAAAACACTTCTCCATGCTCTCTAAACTTTAACAAACTTGGCTTGATGGAAACTCCTTCCTCAGACCACCATGGGAGAAGCACATAAAGAGAAAACTTGTCCTTGGGCTGACTATCAGCAGCTGTGCCTTCACACCCTTTGTGCAGCTCAAAAATGAGGCAAAGGAAGTGGTGAGTTCTGAAGCAACTTGTCTGACCAGGTCTAAGGAGAGGACAAAAGCCCCTCTGCCTTATGGTTGTAGCCTTGCCACATGACTTCCTTTTAGTAATTTAACCAGTAATGGGTAAAATACTAATTACCTTCACTAAAGGAAAATTTCCCAACCTACAGCCAAGCAAATCCTTTTGCATCCTCCACACATTCTTTGCAAATAAGAAAAAGAGCACTGCAATTTTTTTATACTAGCACAGACCTGAGGGCAGAATGTAAATGCATACAGCCTGTTCCTCATATTTCCCACTGGTTTATGTTTGTTCCAGTTCTCTCTTTAATGGGCAATTTTCTTGGAAAAATTTTCTTCTTCACAGAACATTACTGTTCTTAATTAGAACATTCCTAAACAATTCCCATTCAAACTTCTGTTCACCACAGATAACTTGCAGGCAGGTATCACCCACCACTGCCATCCTCGGAAAGGTGCTTGGGGAGCTGCTATGATCTTTGGAAAGCTCCCTTGACAGAATATCGGAATCAACTCTGCTTTTCAACTCTACACCATTTCTTCTTTCTTGCAAGGTTGAAGTTCTTCAAAGTAGTGTCATCAAAATAAAGTTTTTAAAATGTGATTAGGTGGCTTAATTATTTGTGGGTATATTTCTGTTTTGTGGTGTACATGTGGTTGTATTGTAATTTTCACCTGCTATCACATGCAGTATGTGCCTTCCAATTTGATTTTTTTTTTAACACATCAAGAAAGGAAAGCCAGACCTGCTTTCTCTGCCTGTTCAGTTAATCTGCCCCTGTCCTACTTACTGCTCATGTGTCTAATCTGGCATAAGGTGACACACATCCCTGGCACAGGCATTTACATTTTTGCATTATTGTGGCTTGGAAGATTACTTTTTATTTAGATGTGCCCTTCCTAATTAGGCAAATAGAGGAAATTTACTAATTTCACCACTCCTTTCATCTCATGAACCTCAATATGTTATAATTTGCTGTATCTGTTTCTGACATCGCAGTCCTTGTACCACATGTGTCCTCTCTGGAAGTGTTCTGTTCCTGAAACTTACTTTTTTCTGATTAATCTCTTTGAAACAGCCTCACATTTGTTATCAAGACTTCCACATAACTCTCAGCACTCAGAAGAAGCAGCAGAAATGTAATTGCTTACAAGTTGTGTAACTAGTTGATGTGAATAAGGCAGGGACACAGCAGAAGGAGCATGGTGTGGGGAATATAGATCTAATACCTTTAAGCATGATCCTGTACTGTCTTGGAATTTCAAAAATTACTTATAATTATAATGAACGCACCATTTAAAGAACCTTAAAATTACAGAGAGTACTAGTAGCACAAAGTGAACCTGTGAAAAATGCATATTTTATGATTGGCTTTTTGCAAATATTAAAATGAATATTATACTTGTTATGTTAGAAAGTTATGATGTATTAATTTTCTTCAGTGTGTTAAATATAGTTTTAGGTTATAACATAACGTTAAAATAGAAATTGCTACACAAGATACTTTTTTTAAAGAGAGGACTCGCACAGAGATAGCAGCCACAGGACACCTAATCTTTCAAAGAATTTAGTGCTCCCTTAACTAACTTCTCACCCTGCTGAGCCCTGAAGACACCGTTAGGATTCAGAGGAAGAAGCTGACACTGACCAGACGGAATCCTTTATTTGAGTGGAATTTGTGCATCATGTGTGAGGTGTATGAATATGCAACAGGCTATTGCTTTTAAGGGTTAATCCTCTGTTAATGTGTGTCCTTTTGGGGGCTTATTTTGCCCAGAAAGATATACCTGGACTGTCCATAACTCTTTTGTTTTTATTGTCTTGTATTGTCCTAAATCTTAATTGTCCAAACTTTTATTAATTATATTACTATATTTATAACCATTTTATTACTATTAAACTTTTAATTTTTTTTAAAGTGTTTGGCATTTTTCACATGACTCACATATGCAGTCCAAGTATCATCATCATTAGGGGGAACAGCTGGATTATTCTCTACAGTAGTTCTCAAAGCCTGGCAAATTCCACTGAAAAGCAGTAAGGGAGGAGCAGATAGTGGCTTCCACTCTTATTCAGTCTATGAGATCACAGTCTTTCACTTTTCAGAGACAAGTAAGTCTCTTAAATACTACATTCCTTAACAGGAGGGCAAAGAATGGAAACCAAAGTAATAAAACCCTGAACAGATGTTCAGACTATCTAGAAGGGAAAATGAGAATTTATACAGAAATGCAGTTTTATTACACGCGCTCTGTTATTGCCACCATTTAAGTGTGCTAATGCAAAATGTATTTATTAAAGACCCAATTAAGAAAATTGTTTAAGTAACTCTCAGTAGTCCAAGAAGCACAACTGTGAATGATGCTGCAGCTTTAACATACCAAAAAAAAAAATAGGAAAAGATGAAAAGCAAAAATGAAACAAAAATTACTACTGAAATTCTATATGGGTATTTTTTAATTTGATGCTGGGACCTGCGAACACTTCTGTGACTTCTTAGTTTTGTTGAAGAGAATGATTTCACTAACTGTGGGTGCAGTCCTCCAGAGCAAGGAATTGGGAATTTTGTCTCTGATTGGAGCAGACTGAGGCTAGCACATACAAGTTACAGCTGCTGAAAGCTGGGAGCAGCACAGAGGTGCAGTGCTTCAGGGAAAAAAGACAGAGAGGAACAGCTTTGCTTTGATCTTTTCACATACAGGCAAACCAAGAAATCAAGGCTCACAACTTTTTTTTTTTTTTTTTTTTTTTTTTTTTTCCAGAATTATTGCTGTTTTATTGAATAAAATCTCAACTTCAAGCGTGTGTCACAGAGACTTCTACTTTAGGTAAGAAAAACATTAAAGACCTCTTGCTGGAATATTAGCAATATGTAAATGTCTTGATAGAAAGAATTAATTCTTTACACTCAGAGAATGTCTACACAAAGAATTCATGCAAAATTTTTAAACGGGAACAAGCCTAAATTTTAATACACATTTAAATGTCTTGATCACGATCACAAAAACTATCATCAAACATAGCTGAAACTAAACTAAAATAGCAGTACAACGGAGAATTCTATTTGTCCAGAATTCCGTAGAATTCTGTTTGTCCAGAATTCCATCAATTTGCTAATAAACTGAGACACACACTTGATGTAAGACTTGAGACAGTAATAATACAATCTCTTGAAGAAACTGACAAATACACATCTGACAAATCCATCTGACAGATGGACTGGGGCTTCAAGCTACAGCAGACAACGTCGGAGTTTCAGGACACACCAGGGGAAAGGTGTGCACAGCACCGGGAGGAAGAAAAGGCAGGTGGGTGACAGCGCTGGCAATGCCACATGCAAGTGAGAGACTAAGGCTTTTCACGCGGTTTTTACATTCTTCTTTGGGTTTTTGGTTATTTCGTTTTGCTTTGGTTTGGCTTCTTTACAAAATTTCTTTACTTTGAGCTAAAGAAAGATTCCCGCTGCTGTCCCGGCCCGTTTCTCCCGGTGCCGCCACAGCACTCTAGTTCTGCCGGCGGTACGCCTTCTTGCGGGCTCCGGAGTCCTGCGCGCCGCCGCCTCTGCGCCTCCTGGACTGCCAGGAGCCGCAGGTCCCGGCCCCGGCCTGCCCCGGCCCCTCAAGGCTCTCCTCCTGCGCCCCGCTGGTGCTCGGGAGGGCGACAGCACCGGGGCCGGCCTGCTGGGGACCCGTGTCCGTGCGGCGCCGCGCCAGCGCGCTGCAGCGCTCGGCGGCCACCTCGATGAGCCGCCCGACGAAGGCGGCCGTCTGCCCCCGCAGCAGCGGCTGCAGCTCCCGCGCCAGCGCATCCTCGCGCAGCCCGTAGCGGCACAGGCTGGCCACGATCCTGCCCTGCGCGAAGGCCACGTCCCACCAGCAGGAGCCGCACAGCACCTCGGCCAGCCACATCTGCAGCGGCCGCAGGATCTCGGTGTGGTTCCTGAAGAAGAATGCCCAGGTCTCGGGGGGGAACCCCGCCACGTGAGGCCGGGGCTCCGGCCCCGCGGCGTCCGGCTCCTCCTCGGGGCTGGCGCTCCGCGACGCCGAGGGCTCCAACACAGCTATCTGCACGCAGCCCTGGTTGGGCGGCAGCGGGTGGAGGATGGTGCGCACGGTCTGCCTGCACAGCGGGCACGACGGGTTCTTCCTGGCCCAGCGCACGATGCAGCCCCGGCAGAACTGGTGCAGGCAGGAGCCCACATAGGCGATGTTGGTCGAGGCTTCGCGGCAGATGGGGCAGCTCCACTCTGCCCCCGTGGCCATGCTGGCGATGGTGGCGAGCAGGGGACAGATGAGGAACGGGAGCTGCTTGCCCTCGGTGGTGTCGCACGCTGTCGGGAGAGAGAGGCAGTGGTCATTGCTGTCCCAGGGAGAGGAGAAAGGAATGGCCAGGCCCCTGGAGAAGCCATCCTCCCCGCTCGCTGAGTCCTGTCACCCAGCCAGAGGGCCCCCATGGGGCACAGCTCACCTTCAGTTGCCTGTGCCAGAGCAGGCAGGGTGGGGAAACAGGAGTGATGGCCCCGGGACTGGCACCGGGAGCTTCCAATGGCAACCACCCAGTGCCACAACTTCAGTCCTTTTTCACTCCATTTTAATTCCAAATAACCAGGGTGAGGGTGGGGGAAGAGTGAGGATAACATTTTACCAGAGGGAGGGATACATGTTTAGCATGGTGAGAGGTAGAGATTGGTGGTTTTTGATTGGCAGTGTACTAAAGCATACCAAAAATGCTTTTGCAGATGACTGGAACTAATGGCAAGTCCACTCTTCAAAACAGCAATAATTTTAAAGTTTCAGGCTAAACCACAGGCCTGCAACATAAAACAACGGCATTTTACTTATTTTACTGTGGAGGTGTGCCTTTGCAACAACAGCCTCAGGGACAGGTAGCAGTTTTTGCATAGTGGTTTACAGAAGTGGATAGTCCTAAAATGGGAGTTACATAGCATATATCTAGATATTGAAGTTGTGCTTGAGTAAATAATTGCCAGAATTAGCTAATTCTGCACTAATTTTGCTTCCTAAGCAGAAGTACTCATCAAGGGAAGTTTTTTCCTTCTTACTTTTGTGACCAAGCTGATAATTTTATTACTTCTAGTACATTTATTAGTGCTAATAACATGTAAATATGAGTTACAATTTAAGGATATGCTTGAGGCACAGTGAAGATTGTGCTGGTATCAAGGAAGTCGTTTCACCAGCATTAAATCAAGTGCCAAATCAGAGTCTGTACAAAGTTTTGTTTAGCCAACAGATTTCTCTTGGGAAATGGCCATAAGTATTTTGTGCCTGGAAGTCTTAATCGAGTGTACATGGCTCTGCCCTGAAAGCTCCTGTTTTAACTTCCTGAAATAACAAGATTACATAGAATAGACCTAAATCCTCTGTGTGCAACCCCTGAGAAAATACGAATTTAACTTCAGTCCTGGTTCTGTATCTCAGAGACGTATGTACATATGACTTCTGTAAGCCTTATGAAATACAGGATATAATTACATTCCTCTTAAGAAACACAGTAAACAAGCCATGGCAATGGCAGTCTTGAATTAATACTCTGCTCTGCTCAACTAGAATCAAGAATTCAGTTGAATTAGGATTTTCAATTTAGTGTACAATGCTTCTGTGGCTGCTTTTCAGCAGTGGGACACATTTCTCAGAGAAAGACGAGTACCTTTTGCTCCTACAGTCATTGGACTAGTGGAAACTAGTGGAAGTATTACCACACTCCTGACAGATCTCAGACTAACTCATCATTATTGTAATAAATAATAGATGTCAAAGCTGTGTCTTTCATGAAGGGCTTCTGTCTATTACAAGAGTACTCTCCATGTTCTGTTTAAAAACAAACCAAACGTTTGCATCAAACTTACATAAAAGTAGAAGTACAGGTCCACTATACCTGGAGGTACGGTTGATTTATGCTGGTTGGGTGTGTTGGTATGACTACCAATCCATAAGGGGAAGGAAGCACCTAAGAAAGGAGAAAAAACTGCACCACATCAATTACAGAAACAACATACAATGAGCTAACCATAACCCCCTTTCCCCATCCCCCTGTGACTGCTGAGGATGATGAAGATAGAGAAATTGGGTGTAAAATTAAGCCTGGGAAGAAGGCAGGAAGTGTTGGGAGGGTCTTTTAAGCTTTGGTTCTAATTATTATCCTACTCTGATTTGATTGGTAATAAATAAGCAAATTCTCCAAGTTGAGTCTGTTTTACCCATGAGATAATTTATGAGTGATTTCTCCTTGCCCTTGACACCTACAAGCCTTTTCTGATATTTTCTTTCCCCAGACCAGCTGGAGAGGGAACTTGAGAGAGTGGCTCTGATGAGCACCTCTGATCCAGCCATGGTCAACCCACCACAGGTTTTCACCAGTGAGCAGAATTTTGTCATTCCACATGGTATTGTACTGCACACAGCTGTAGGCACACCCACCGCAACTGAAATGTTATTTTTGCACCAGTCCATACCCTTTCTCTTCCCATGTGTCATGATCATTTCTGCCAGACACTGAAATGTAAGTGGTTTCTTAGTGCCCTAAGGCAGCAAAGGCATTTAAGGAAACTGAAAAGACTGGAAATAGTTCTAAACTCAGAAACTTCCACATAAGCTTTGTTATTCATGGAGCTGTCCTGCAGAACCAGCACAAGCCCACAGAAATATGACAAACGAGCTCCCTGGCATTAAAGATTGTGTCAAGGACCAGCTTCCTCAATCCCTGTGATCCTGACACAAATTCACCAGGGTGCACCATGGTTCTCTCATAGCATCAGTGCCAAGACCTGCTGTTCTGCAGAAAATAAGGTAATTAAGATATCCCTGTTGGAGACAGACTGTGAATAAAATGCTTCTTATTTAACATTTTCAACATGTTTTCTCTTGAGGACACTCAAATATAAGATTGTCAATAAAGACTTACTGATATCTTTGTAACAGGACTCAAGAGAATAAATTCTATCCTACAAATCAATCCTATATACTTGTGCAGTCCCTATGAAAGCCAACAGACAAATGCTTAAGACAAGAATTGATTTGTCACTAGATAGTCTTTGGAACTGATGTGTTAATATACAGAACAAGATATCTCTGAAAATTCCCTGCATTGTGAAAGAGGTGATAAATGTAAAATGAACAAAGCACAGTCGATGTAAAAAAGGTTTTGAAAGTTGGAATCTGTTGAAATCCCCTGAAATACAAATGTGAACAGGAAATACATATATTAGCAAGGACTGAAGGAAAAAAGGGTCTAAACACTGCATGCAAAATTTAGACTATACACACAAACTGAGGTTAAGGGAAATTCAAAATTTTCTCATGGAACTGAGAAGTAACAGAAGGTATTAATAAGAATAAATATGTGATCTTTAAAGTTTTTCATTTAAAAAGTAATAGCAACTATTTCTAGAATAAAAATGCTATTAAATCTGCAAAACCAAAATCACTACACTTTTTCTTCTAATATCCGAAATACTAAAGAAAGTAAAAGCTCATTTAAACTGACGAGATTTGAGTTTTATTCTTTTATCAAACACAATGTACTAGAAGGACAGGAAAGACTTAGTTTTCAGTCCTTCCCCTCCCAAAATCAGTCAACTCAGCAGAGTGTGGATATTGGGACTGGCATCATGCTGGTTTGTTTCAGGGAGGGCGCAGGGGGGTGTTGCCAGCAATCTCCACCTAGGATAATCGTGAGGCTGAGAAGAATCCCTTCCCAAATAAAATTTCATTGAAACCACTTGTAAAATGAGCCTTTTTATGTGAAGAAAAAAAAATACCAAAAAAACCAAAAGGCCATTTTTCATAAGAAGTGTTTCTGAAGACTCCTAGTCAATTTTACCATCAAGTCAGCTTTAATAACAGGCTGGTAAATTGCAGTGCCCTGCAGGACTTCAGGCTGCAGTAATGCAGCAGAAAGGAAAGCAGGACTGTTAAAGGTATAATTCTAAAAGGACTCCCCCAAACTCTCTCTCAGCCTTTTTTATAAGTGTTTCATCTCTACAGAAGAACTCAGCTATCAGGGGGATCCCTTTCATATTTTTTGCAATATGTTTGTCACTCAGCTTACTAGACACTTCCACAATGGATGCTTGTCCTGCTGTGTATAGTCCTTGAAACAAAAGTGTGTGATGTTACAGGGACTGAAAGCTGAGCTTTAATTTCATTTCTATGGGCAGTTCCCTTAAGAGTTGGACTAAATGATCCCTGTGGTCCTTTCCAACTCAGAACTTTCTGTGATTCTTTAAAGTAGTGGTAGACTTTAAAGAAGATGCCCTAATGGTAAGAGATAAGTATCAAGTAACTGAAATGGGACCAATGTAACTATCTTTGGAGCTGGTCTTTCTTTGACCAGGTTAGGAGAACTCCAGGGATGCCATTCAGCCTCCAGGGTTTTTTGATTCTATGGTAGATTTCAAACAAACAATATTACTCTGTCCTATTAGCATATAACTGCAGGTTCTGCAGTATGCAGTAACAGCTTTCAAGAACAAGTTTCCCTTAGTAAAATGCCTGAACTCTTGCTCAGCTGCTGGCAAAACCAAAAGAGAAACATTTGTTGAAAATGTATTCTTAAATTACATAAATAAGAGGCCTGAGGCTTTTCTGCCTAAAGCTGTCCAGTTGCTGTTGTTAAACCTGAGTCCTCAACATGACCACTCACTGATCCCCAAGGCTAAGTCCTACCCAAAATCCAAAATCAGAGCACAGAAATACCTTCTCAGGCTTGAACATGATGCACAATAAACTACATTAGATTGAGAGCACTCAGTTGAAGGCAGCATCAATTTAAACTGTTTCTGAAAATAATTTTTTCACATCTCTTTGTCTTCTCTTCCCTGCACCAACATTTGCACGGCTGATCTGCTAGAACAAGGTTGAGGGGTTTTTGTTTGTTTGTTTGTTTGTTTGGGGTTTGTTTTGTTTTGTTTCGGGGTTTTTTGTTTGGTTGGTTTTTTTTGGGTTTTTTGTTGGTTTTTTTTTTAGTTTTTTTTCTCTTTTTTTTTTAATTTTAATTTTTTTTTTTTTTTTTTTAATAGAGTTCATTTTTATGCCCGAGGATTTCTCTAACCTAGCTCAGCATGGGGTCATGAAAGGTGTATGGAAGAAAGATGGAATCTGTAGAAATGTTTTCCCAAGTCAAACAGGGAACAGAACCCCTACCTACTGTCTAGTCTCAGCACCAGCCAGGTTTCCTGTCTGTGTACTTTCCCTCCACTTTTTTGTGCCTCTGCCAGGAAGATGATCAGGACAATACTAACTCCTCTACTTCACTCTTGTTTAAAATTCCCACTTGAAGTTTTTAAATGTCATTCTGGCATTTAATTGAAAATGAGTAATAAAGGGCCTTATAAGTGAAAGTAGGAATTAATATGTGCTAGTGAATTCTGGGAATTAAAAGTTACCACTTTTGCCTTCCTTAAGCCCATCCAAGGCTGATCAGGTAACCTGCTGACCTTATAAACTCTGTGTCCAGCCTCCTCAGGTAGGAATTAAATAAAGAACGGATGATGGAAGAGTAATAAATTAACTGTGTCTAGAATCATCCTTCTCCACTCCCTTTTTTGATTATTCCTTCTGTGTCCTTCTGGGGTAGTTACAGAGCAGGTCAGTGACCTCAAGATTGCTGGAACTGCTTACAACTCCTTACAAAACCACTGCAGGAGGGGTGGCCTCACCTTCACCTCAGGCAATTCTTTTTGAGAAATAAATAAAACTACCAAACAAAGTTTTTTTTCTCCAGAAGCCAGACACATCCTGCTCTCTGTACCACCTCTTCCTGGATATCATGTTGCCTCCCTCCACTTTTTCTGCTGCAACTGCATTGCAGATACTTTCACAAAGACCAGTTCATGGTATGACTAATTACATCGTGAAATTAGCTGTGCTTATTTTCAGATTTTGCTAATTTAATATCCTTGTTGTAGGCATAGAAACCAGACTGAGAAGTACAAGCCTGTTAGATAAGTTCACCTAAGGTGTGGCTAAAGGACTGGATGGTACACATCAAAGAAAATCTTCCAACTAAGGATTCAGAACAAGAAATGAAAGAGTCTTTCAGTTTTTGCAGCTGAAGGAAATCAGTGTCTAATTGCAAGTTTCTGTTGGCATTTCAAAATTAAAATTCCAGGAATGACCAGGAGGAAGGATAGTGAGAGTTTTGTTTCTACAGGCCCAGTGAGAATCCATGGAAGTCACAGGGAATGTGTCCTCCACACCAGAGCCTGTCTCTTCGCACAGCAATCCTCCTGAGCCACATGATTGAAGCACATTACTTGTCTTCCTGTGTTACTGCTAGAGTAGATTGAGAGAGTCCTTTGCTTTCTTCCATCAAACAAAACAAAACAAAACAAAACAAAACAAAACAAACAAACAAAAAAATCAAAGGGAAAAAAAACCAAAAACAAAACAGTCACAGTCTTAAGGCTGAGGACCATATGTTTAAATACTGCCAGTCCTTTCTTTGGTGAAAGAGAACTGTTTGATGAAGTCTAATATTATGTTTTTACTTTATTCAGGGGATTATTTAATAGCAGTGTAAACCTGCAACATAGCATTTGAATACATTTGAAATGTATAAGTCCCTTTTAAAATGAAAACATGACCACTGAAAACAATAAGTAGGTTTATAAGCAACACCTCTAACACTTATTATATGTACAAGATCAGGACATCTTCAGGCTAAGTTTTTCTCTCATTAGTATGCTGGATGTTTGAATGTAAAATTAGTCAGTCTTTATGCTAAAATTTCTCAGGTATTCAAAACCCTGAAAATATAAAACCCTGAAAATCAAAGTCTATCTTTTAAATCATGAATCACAAGCATCTGAATTTAAAACATTTTTTATCTGTGATGCAGATAGATCTAGGAGAAACAATGATCATAACTGAGGGTGAAACAATTCTCTTTCATCCAGAATTGTACACCTTTTGTTAACAGTAAAGGTATCAGGAAGGGAAAATATTTTGTTGAGATTTGGGGAGAAGTTTGTTTGGGTTTTTTTCCTAAAAGGATGAAATGGCTGAATTCTTTTTCTTTGTTTCCCACTGCATACTAGCACTGAAACAGTATTAATGCAGTGAAGACTTCTTTGAAGTGTTCCCCTTTAGGTATCATTAGATGGTACCATGTCACAGATTCCTTTCACTGAATAAAACAGTGATTTAAAGAGATTCTATTACTGTAATAGAATTTTATTCTGTTACATTAGTCTGTGATGCTTATATTCATACCTGTGTTTTAAAAACTCAGTGATACAGGAGGAATATGAAGATGAAAGATACAAAGTGTATCACTGAGACAGGGGATCTAAATCAAAGCCTTCATTTTGACTTCAGAAAACAACATTCTCTGGTTAAGGTAAACTTTGGACTCCAGGCAGACATCAGTAATAAGAGAGTTGAGAACTCTTTTGGTGGGAGTCTTAAGAAAATCAAACCAGCTGTAGTGAACCTAAAAAATACCTGCAGGGGAACCAGACATAATCTAACTGTAACAATATTTTCATTATAGTCATGATGTCAACATGACATGGATAATTTTCCTTCTGCAAGAAGCAAACCCAAAATCTTATACAACTTGAACAAAAAAGAGAATGCTTTAATCTGTTTAGAAGATTTGTGCTGCAGATTACTGACCTGACACACACAATGTGTCTATGATAAAGAAAGAACAGTAAGGATTCCATTCCAAGTCTCCTTATGCAGAGGAATTGAAAACTGGCTATTCTGAGGCTAATATGCATAGTCAGATTAATGATTTAGTGTCAATCCAGAGATGAGATGTTCTCAGTTTCTGTAGGTAGGGGGAGAAGTGAGCATGGAACATGTGTCAGTTAGTCAGGCTCAGTGTCTCATACACCACAAGCCTCCTCAACCACTCAGCTCTTTCTGGTACTGCTGTCCTCCAAGACTGCAGTGTAAGCATCCATCAAACATGGTAAAAAATGCAATTTCTTTAAATACTTCATCACTACTTTACTACATTGCTACCACTTCATAATATTTCTCTCATTTGTGCTCCAAAGTAATTTGTACTCATCTCTCACAAACATCTTGATGTCATTTTGACTGGAGTTCTGTAATCAAGAAAGGGACTGCCCTTGCTCTGCTGTTGATGCCTTCCAAGCTATAGAAGAAATAGGCTTTGAATTAAGGTCTGCTGATTAAATTTGAAGACTTTCATGCTTCCGTAACCAGTATGAATATTTTCTGAATCCTAATTAGGTTTCAATGTTCTATTTACACTTGGATTTTCCATCAGATTTCTGTCCACTAGCATGGCATCTGCCCTTAAATTTGCCCTCACAACTGCGTGAGAGCACGTGTGTCAATGTTTGAGGCTCTCCCCTCCACCCAGAATGTTTGCAAGGCAGACACCTATTGAACTACTGTAGTTGTCATTTTTATATCCTGCTGTAACAGCAGCCATCTGACTGTAGATCACAGACTACAAACTGTTTATTACTAGAAAAGTTACAAGCCTGAGCATTATTTATCCAATCTCTCTAAATGTTTCAATACAGGGAAAAAATCAAAACGCCAAAGGAAACCCAGGCTCTGGAAGCATATCAGCCCCCTTACCTTACCAGAGAACTGCATTAATTCTACTTTGTGCCAGCCTTTCCTTTGAACAACACCAACTCTGGCTCCTCAAGGCAGGACTGCATTATGCAGCATCTGAGCTCCTGTAAGAAAACAGAGTCAAAGCCACAAGAGGCAACAAAAGATCCCCCTTCTCTGGTTCTTGTTATGTAAGATTTTGATGTCACTGTGGAAGAATCTTCACAGAAGTTAATGCTACCAGGTGATTTTCTAAGTACCAGTAGGCTTTCCTGAGTACCCTCAATCATTAGAAAAAGTTGTTTACACTCGTAGTGTTCAGGCCACTGCTGTAGTTGCTAAGTCACTCCTCTTGGGACATATCTTGGTACCCTGGGATGCCCTGTGCAATATGGAGGGAGGCAGGCAGAGTCCCACCATCCTGACTGATTAAGTTCACTGTGCTGCTGTGTGAAGAATCTTGTACTAGCCAGTTTGCTGTGAAATCATTCCTAGCTCAAGCCATGTCAAAGTAAAATGCAAGTAAAATAATTCATTGCATTCAGTATAGAAGCAGCTACAAAGACTTAAATTAAGAATGAATGAAAATGCACTTTTAAACTACTTATGGCTAAATTCAATCAGAAGTGGTATTGCTCCCCAATGGCAGACTGACTCATCACTTTTCCTAACACTGTTAGAGAATCTCTGCTTGCTCATTTTAATGAATAAAAGTCTGTTTCTCATGGCACATTCTGGTTTGTTCCACCTGGCCTTCTGAAGACCTAGGGCTAAGACAGACTAAACCTTTCTTTACCAACCTTGGCCATTACGTTATATTCATGAAATTATCTGTGCTGAAATAGTTTCACTTCCTTCAGGAAATCCAGTTTTTCTTAACCCAAGTGTCAGTTTCTGTGTTTGGTTATTTAACTCTCACCTAACAAATTAAAATTTCTTCTTTTAGTAAGCAGCTCCTAGATCTTTACTTAGGAAGTGTCTTTACTACTAAACCTCTTATGAACCAGTTTGTGAGGACACTCATGGTTGGGGTAATCCACACCAACACCTCATATCTGAGTGCTCCAAATGCAACATCCACTCCATATACAGTATTCCATGGCCCTTTTGTCATCCACATCTGATTTTCCTTCACAGAAGAGTCATTTCTTCAGAAAAGGTGGCAGAATATCACTGATGAGGTACACTAATGTTTGCCTTCCAAAGGGTTCAAATTCAGCTAGCCAGAATTTAAGCGGTCTTAGCGATATCTCCTTCTTATCTTCCATTTTTGCCTCTCCTTGTTTCTTACTAAAGGGTACCTGTCCACCATCACATTTGTTTTGATTTCTTGGCTTTTGTGTTATCTTTTTTCTTATGAGAGTTATGAGCTTTAGGTGTGGTAAAAGACATTATGCTTCTATGGAAATACAACAATTTTAGCTGTAAAAGGAGCAGTGCCTCTGTCCTGAAGAATGTCATCTTTTATGCCCTGTGGCTCACACCTAATTAGTGTTCTTTTCCTATATCCCTTTCCTTACTTTGACAATTAATAGACTTCATAGGGCACTGGGTAGCTAGGAGGAAGCAGAGGGTCACTGAAGAGATGATCCGAAATAATCCAGCATGCCCTTAGGACAAACTCCAGTGGTACTGTTAAGCACCAGCAGCTTAAGAGGAAGAAAAAGCAACTCCCCAAAACAAGAGTTGAGTAAGGAGCACAAAGGCATTAAAAATCAATATGCTATAACTTCTGCTGCCAAGCAACTTGGTCAACTCTGTGTACCAATGTGCTGGCTGCTAATGGATAACTAATAAGGCTTACAACCACAAAAGGAAAGTACTATGCTAAAGGTAAGTTTTAAAAATTGGAATAATGCAGGGTTTCTGACCAGGAGGTTCAGAGAAGTGAACAGCGAGCAGACCTACTCACTGCCTCTTCAGCCATTAGAGAAAGTTAATTCCCTTGACATGGCACTTTGCCAGCTCTGACTTACCTGGCTGAGCCATTTTGGAGTAATTAGGACCATTTCAGGGTAGTCCTGTCCCAGTCTTGCTGCTGCTCCTTGGAACATGCAGCAGCTGAGAGTCTTGCAGAACGGTTAATAAAAGAAAAGTGCAAGTGTGCTGGGTTCTGCTGGTGCACATGCATGTTAAAACACAGAGAACTGCTCTGGGGCAAAACCAGCATTTTCAGACAACAAACACAGAGGTTACTACTATGAGGGGAAAGGTTGGCACTGCTTAGAATTGCGTTAGAATTTAGGTGGAAATTATTAGATGACAATTATTAAGTGAGAAATGAATGATGCTTAATAATTATAAATTTCTCAATCAAAGCTGATAGGTATTTTCAAAACGTTTTGGGAGGAAAAATATTTGGATGATATTTCATTAAGAACTTGATCTTATTTTCTTTGTTACAGAAGATTTGCAAGAATTATTTGCTCTAGCTTGGTTCTACTTTAACATACCTGGGCATCCGTGTCCACATTTATTGTCCCACTCAAAAGAATAATTGGGGAGGGGGGAGGGGGGGCGGCAGAACCTCAGCAATCAAGTTTGAGCAAATTGCTGTCTTTTTCCTGAGTGCTTTCCTCTCCCACTCAATGTCCCTGATAAGAGCAAAGATCTTTTTATTCTCACAGCTGCTGCTCAGCACATCTTGACCTACCATGTGCTGCTGCAAGTATTGGTATAGGTCATTAAAAAACTTAAATTAGAGGTTTGGATGAAACACAAAAAATCCCAGCCTGTGAATTGTAGATGAATTTGTTGTGTGATTGGGTTTTTTCATTATGCCTTTAATCAATCTATTTGTATGCAACTTTACTCAGACATAACAATAGAACTGAGCTTATTATAGATTACCAGGAATTTTGTCAAACCTCAACAGAATGTGAAGCAAAAGTGTCGTCAGGTACAACATGACCAGTTTCAACTTCGCTTTTAAAGTAACTTATATAACGCTGTAGCAAAAGACACATATCTGCATCCAAAAATGCTTTACAGGCATAGCAGTACTTTTTCTCACAATTCTCTCATGCTTGTCACAAAAAACTTACACTGTCTGGAAAAGGAAATGTTCTAAGGCATATGATCAGTCATTAATTTTGAAAGCTTCCAAAATTCCGCAGTTCCTCCATTTCTAGAACAAGCTTTTTCCTTCAGTTATTCAGAGCTTTCCTTTGAGGAAAAAAAGAAGAGAAAAAAAAAAGAAGAAGAAAAGAAAAAAAAAAAGAACATAACAACAACATCAAAACCAAAGACATCTAACTCAGAATTACAAGATTTCACATATTTCATATCAGTTTTACCAAAACATCCTAAAGAAATAGAATAGCAGAATTGAACAGAAGGAGGCACAGAAGACACAAAGATAACAAAGGCACAGAAGACAAAAAGATAACACTTTTGGTCATTTTTTCACCTTTGAAAAAATGACCAAAAAGAGCAAAAATTCACAGGAGTTCTAGATGGTTCCCATGGAGGCCCTACACTACAGCAAAATGGTATTGCACAAAGGAGGGCAACATAGCAAAAGTCAGACTGATGGAGGGATGAAAAGATAAAGGATGAAGGATTTTAGAGAACACATTGAATCAAGTACCTGAAGAGTCTTTATGCAGAAGCTGGAGCTGGGAGGAATTTTGCTAAGTACCTGTTCTCCAACGTGTTGGACTCCCAACACCGCAGCTATTGGGGTTCCAAGATCTTCATGTGTGGATGATCATATCTCGGTGCCTAAAATTAAGAAGCAGAGGAATGGCTTAAACACTGTGCAACTGGTTTGCAAATGAAGGAGCAAACTGCAGACTTGATGTTAAAACAGTTTTCATGCCCTTACAACCCACGTAAGTTACAGTCCCCAGGCCATGCTTTGCTTACTCAACATACAGAAAAAGGTATTAAGTACTGTGTCTGGCATGACTGTACGTACTTCTGATGACATTCTTCTGAAGACAACCTGGTACACTGAGTTCCAGTGAGGGCATTGATACATAATACAAGGAGATCCCAGTGGTTTCTAAAGGCAACAGGCAAGTGAATCTTATGAGCTCAGAAACGAACAGGGGAAATCTAAGAAAACAACCCTTCAGCAAGTAAGGCAGGATTTTTTTGCCAAGCCTAAAGACTCTGGTCCTTTGTGCTGAAATTCACAACAGGAATGTTGTTGAGAATACTGAAAGAAATACTGAAACACAAAGTGCTGCAAGGGTAGATGTCTGTGTGGGCAATAATTCACCAGAAATGAGAAGTCTGAAGCCCCAGGAGCAGGGACACTGAGGGGTCTTGGTATGCTGCTCTGAGAGAGGCAGGAAACAAAGGATGGAGTGGCACAGATGTGCTGTGGTCATGCTCTGTTTGAAACAATGCAGCCAGTGGAGCTAAGAAAAGGAAGGGTCCAAACAGTGACCAAAAGTTGAACTTTGCTTCATTAACTCAAAAATATTGCTTTTAACACTCCCTCATATGCCAACAAAATAAAAACTGCATATGCATGACAAGTATGAATAAAGTACCTCAAATTTCACTTGGTCATAAAATTACATCAGTTAGACTTTTTCCCACTCTCAAAGTAAACAATAGACATGTGACTTAAGAGGGAAAGGAGGTCAGAGGTGACTCCACCTTTCTGTTCTGGGGCTGTTGAACGGCTGTGCCCATCTCCTCCCCCATAAAGAGGCCTGTGGAATAAGCTCCATTCTCTGGTAGTACCATTGACTTACCTTTCTGATACCAGTGCCATGCCAACTTCTGATGCATATTCTGTCACAGCAATCAATAAATCTCAGTGTTCATGAAACACCATATTGAACATGACCAGACTTACAGCACTGAATTGGTTCTAATCAGAAATAGAACCCAGCCACAGCCAGCATCTCTGATTTCTATGGCCCAGCTGGAGCACAGGGTAGGTGGGGTATGTTCTGTCAAATTTCATACTTTAAAAATGTTTTCCGTGAAAGTGTATGATTAAGTTCTTTCCAGACAGATAATATACAGCTAAGAAGGGGAAGATCTTGCTGCCTCTGGGCCCACTATGTCTGTTTCAACTCTGCTCTGAAGTTTTCCTAGGCAGTAGCTTTTTGCTTCCTGAATGCTTCAACTTTCCTTTCCACGTGAAACAGAAGGTTTATGTACAATCTGCATGTTTTCAGTGTGGGGTCTGCCACTTTCTGGAGGCAGGACAAAGCAGGACCCTTTACAAGGGGAACGTGTGTTTTCCTTCTCTCAGGTAGCAGCACAGCCCAACCAGGACAAAAGCACCATGCTGCAAAACATGGTAGTCACATAAAAGAAAAAGGAGTCACCACTCTGGGAACCTGCTGGTCACATAAATAAAGCAAAACATTGTCAGGAAACCACAAACATACAGTCAGGCTTCATTAAAGAAGGGAAATCCATCCCCCTTGAACTACTGTGAACTGCTCAAGGTTCACTGCAGCTCCCTCTCCTGAATTTGAGACTCTTCCAAAGACAGAGTGGGAAACTGAGATGGAAATTGCTCTCTGTTTTATGCTGATTTCATCATTTAAGAGTCTTTTTTCCACTAAGCAAATTGGAAGTCACACCTCATCCAGGTTTTTCTGGTTTTTTGGGTCAGTTCTAGATAGATCTAGCTCACAACTGTCTCTAACCTGAAGCCCTATCACTGCTGGTTTTTGACTTCTCAGTCAGTACCCAGACCTGAGAACATCTTCGTATCTACTGGTTTTATTAGGGCAATGATGATGCACGTGTTGTTACACTTCTTTTTCCTAAGTTCAGTTTCCTTATCCAAATGAAACCAATGACACTCATTGATAACACAGAACTCAAAGTAGCTAGAATGGAGGGAGAATGTGATTTCCTACTTTCTCTTTAGTGCAATAAAACTACACTGTCCATATTTAGTTCAGTAGATTGTAAAATACTCATTTTCAAACGCAAACTTTGATTATTACCTTGCTGTCTGAATACATGCCCCCAGATATTCAAGTGTTCTTTTTTGCCCAGATCTTAAACCTCACAGCCACAACTTAGAGCTATGGTGAATTTAACAATCCAAAACAATGATTGCACAGAATCAACTGACAATGGGTAATTGCATCAGGAAAAATAAGTATGATGCCAAAAGATTTTGTTGCACCCATAAATAAGCTACCTTTATACAATTCCTTAATCTACTAAGCATTTCTAAATGGGTTTACTCTACTTCTCCTTCAAATCTTGAATTTATGACTTTAGTTTTAATGGACTTATTCACTGAATTCTGAGTGTTATGAACAGGCTCAACTGAAACATTTTTTTAAAATAAGTATAAATTATATACTACAAGTATACACTTTGTTTTCTTCAGATTATACTGTTTCAGTTTATTAGAAAATAGACTTTCCCCCCTTGCTCTGCTATTTCAGTTTGTCTTTTATGGATATAGCTGATTAAACGTCCATAACTTAAGGACAGGGTTTACGTTCTCCCTGTTGAGTCTTTATGTTTGATACATGTCACACTTGGATTTACTTCCACTCTGCAGACAAATGCACTGTGTACTTCAGAATTGTCTTTAGTGTTTTCTGTGGTCTTTACTTTCATATTACCACTACTAGGTACTAACAGCTTTAAAAAAGAGGAATTGTACCTTCTCCATTTTTTATTTTCTTGATTGAGGACTCATAAAAATCTGGTTTACTGTTCTTTGAAAGAGCATCCTTCCTCTATGGCTCTGTGAGCTCTGAGCTAACCCATTCCTTTAGTCAAGAATAAAAATATAATTATGTTTTTGCATTATTAGTATATTATACATTATTAATACTGAGTTGACAACCTGCAGGTCTTCTCAGTTTTTTTTCCAAACAATTCACCAATCAGTGTCTGAGGGCCACTAAGAACCATGTGACAACCAGTCAAGTGAGCATATTTTAAAGAACAAAATTTTGCATGTAGCCCAGGTCAAAGCTAGGACTTTCAGTACTGCATTACAAGGGTTTTGTTTTCAAACAGAGGCATCAGTGTTGTAAGTATCTGTGGATAAACTAGTAAGGACTGACTCCTGACAAAATGACCTGCCTCTCCATCCCTCCTGCTGCCTGGCCTGTCCAAGAAGCTGTGGAGCTCCTCAGGGAAGAGACTTTTTGGCTTGTGAATCAAAGAGGTGTTCAGACATCATGGCTGCATTCTGAATTGCTCTGTGCTCAGCAGCTTCTAGCCCAGTCTGGCAAGATCCCAGACGTGGCTTATGATTGATGAAGCCCAAATTTCAGGAAAGCATCCAGGATTTTTCACCTAAACTAGCATTTTGGAAACAGAGACATATTAGCGGAGCACAGCTACCTGAAACTTTGGCTCTTTCTGTGACGTTTTATATCCTGGTAGCCAGAGAACACTAGACAGAGCAAAACAGAAATTATCTTGAATGAAAGCTCAAAATAGAATATATCACTGCAGGAGGAGTCAGTTATGATATCTACATGCTCCATTCATGAAATCAGAATAATCTGAAGAAAGAAGGAGAAAAACTGGGGAATTACCACAAAAAGATGAAGAAACTCCTTTCTCCTACATCCTCAGTTAACCTTACATGGATCACTAGCTGCAGGCTATGTTTGTCACCTTTGAATTATTTATCATTTGTTTTAAAAAAGTAAACTACGGCTACTATTTGACAAATGGCTTCTGGACAGGGACTGCTTAATCTCTGCAAGCTCAGAAGTTTCCATGGCAACAGTCAAGTCCTCGGTGAAACTCAAAAGAACAATTAAAAGTAAACAGGTTTTTATATGTATGGGATGCTTCCACTGACAGAGAGCTTCAAAAGAAAAGCTGGATCCCTCTCAATTACCCATCCTGCATAAAAGTCTCATAAGAAACAATAAACAAAAGAAGACCTTTATGTTTGGAATTTACAGCCAGTTTTACATGTTAGCTTTAAGCCCAGGGAAAAACAAGTGTTCACACAAGCCAGAACCCCACAATCTTAAGGACTGTCTCTAATATAGGCCCAGGAGAGGATTAATATCTTGCAAAACAGAGGAATTAAATGCCTTTCACTAAATTCTGAAACCAGTATACATGGTCTTACTCAGCTGTGACAGTGGCAAGATGATAAATGTCCCATTGAAGAATTGAAAAAGAGACTATTTTTTAACCCCTTTTAGTCCTAACAAGTGCAGAAATGAAATTGCAAAAAGGGGAAAGATATTAAAATGAAATCTTGGTCTTGCAGCAACTAATTCCTGATGTAAATGGAACTGGTTGAATTCTCTGTCTCAGCTCCCCATCCAACTATGATCTGTGTTCAGTGTGTCCAGGCTGTCAGACCTCCTCTCGCAGCATTCCTGCAATGCATGTCTGCAGCACATCATCACTGGACTCAGGGATGCCTGGAGACTGAGACACAAAGATATTGTTAATAATATGCAGAAAAGCTCTTCAGATGCATTGTTTAAAGCCTTTTTTAAAACTGTCCTGGAGTTGCATGCTCTGAGTCACATCTGACAAAGACTTCTTCCTGATGCACACAAAACCTGGTCAGGTCAAGTGTAAAGAGAGAGGAGCACTTTTGCAAAACAAATCATAAATCCTAGAGCAAGGATGCCCTGGGAAGGTCTCTAGATCAGCAGCTGACAAACTGTGAGAAAAGTAATGAAGGAGCATGAGAAGTAGAACATGAGAAAAAAACAGAGAAGCAAGCATGACTGGAGGAAGATCAGTTGTTCTGCATGGCTCCTAAACATCATTACAACAAAAATCATAAATGA